GTCCACACCCTCCATCAGCCTCACCAGAGTCCACGCTGACACACACGTCAACACACTCCATCAGCCTCACCAGACTCCACACTGACACACACACGTCCACACTCTCCATCAATCACCAGACTCCACACCGACACACACATCCACACTCTCCATCAGCCTCAGCAGAGTCCACACCGACACACACATGTCCACACTCTCCATCAGCCTCACCAGACTCCACTCCAGATCCCGAGGGGGCCCAGGGAGGGCACCAAGGTCCCACTGAGCCCCTTCCCCCAGGGTCTGGCAGCCGGTAGTCCTAGCGGGTTGCCCAGTCCTCAGCAGGATGCCAACCTGGCAGGGCCCCATATACCCACGCCCAGAAAGCAGCCGTGGGGAGCGGGTAACCGTCTGCCCTGAGGCCCCTGCCCGGTTCTGGCCCTACCTCACCCAAGGTCCCTGTGACCCATACTCTCAAGGCATGTAGGCACCCTGCCAGCACCTGCCTCCAACGCCTGGGAGCTCCCTGCAGCAGGGACCCCACCTACCGGCCACAGTGGGCGTCTGTGCAGTTCATGGCATGCCTAGAAGCTGGGGCTTACCAGGGAGGGCCAGCCTTCCTGGAACGCAGCCACCAGGGCACCAGCTTCCAGCAGAGGCCTCACCCAGGAATCCGCCACCTGCCCCCGGGTCCAAGGGGTGACGAGGGCACCCACCTTCCCCCTTCCTCCTTCCTGGAAATGAAGTCTCCACTACCGTCGTGCACCAGGCACCCCAGGGGCCATCAGCCCTTTAAAACACGGGGCCCCTCTGGGTAGCCCCTACGCGAAGCCCAGCACATGTTTAGAAGGGAGAAGGGAGAGAGGCAGAAGTTACTGAGAGAGGGCATAGCTGGCAGCCCGGGGGTGGCTGCAGAGGGGTTCCCTCAGCTCTGCGGACAGACGGGAGAAGCTTTCCTGACATTTCCATGCTTTTTGGCATAACTTTGCAGCGGGATACTGTGCTCAAAGGCTAGCTACAGTACTGCACCGACGGAAAGGGTCCGGGCTGCAGCCTACCCATGCTGAGAACCTAGAAACGCTGCAAAATCCAGATGAACCCAAACTGCCAGACAGGCACCAGCCTGCACCCTTCTGAGACTCACGGCCCCATGGATGGGGCCTCAACGCATCTTCCCGGCCCTGGCGGGGGTCCTGGGAACAAAGGGGCCTGGCTTCCCTTGGTGTCCAACCACACAGGCAGGTGTGGCCATCAGTCTGTCCAGAGGGGCCTGGGAGGAGTGGACACAGAGTCCTGGCGACTGAGACTCAGCACTCACCCTCAGCTCTGCAGCCAGCCAGGAGGCAGGAAGCCCCCCGGAGTCACCCTAGGTGGGCGGAGGAGCTCACAGGCTGCTCGGCTGCTCAGCAGCAGGGCCCAGGACAGGCCCACCTTGCGGGCACTCTGGCAGGAGCAGGGCAGGAGGCAGGAAGGGGCTCTCTGGGAAGGCTGGTGCCTGAACAACCAGCAGCGCAATCACAGAACAAGAGCCTGGCCAAGCAAGAGTGTGCAGCTGGACTCACCCGGACCACACCGAACCGTGGACTCACCGGGACCACGCCGAACCGTGGACTCACCCGGGACCGCTCCTAACCGTGGACTCACCCGGGACTGCACCGAAACGTGGACTCACCCGGGACCATGCCGAACTGCTCCTGCAGACGTAAGACCTGCCTGCTCAGCACCTTCGGACTCAGCTTCTCCAGGCTCAGGGAGGCCACCTGAGGGTACTGTCTGTGGAAAAAGGCACAGTCTCTGCTGCTGTTTTAACACATTTTAAGATTTTTATTTTCATCAAAGTCATATTCATGCATAAATGCCAAGTGATTCTACAAGCCTACAATAAGAAAAGTAGGCTCAGGCTGGGTGCAGTGGCTCATGCCTGTAACCCCAGCACTCTGGAGGCCAAGGCAGGCGGATCATGAGGTCAAGAGTTCAAGACCAGCCTGAGCACCGTGGTGAGACCCCGTCTCTACTAAAAATACAAAAATTAGCTGGGTGTGGTGGTGCGTGCCTGTAATCGCAGCTACTCAGGAGGCTGAGGCAGGAGAATCACTTGAACCCAGGAGGCGGAGGCTGCGGTGAGCTGAGATTGCACCACTGCACTCCAGCCTGAGTGACAGAGAGAGACCCATCTCAAAAAAAAAAAAAAAAGAAAAAGAAAAAGCAGGTGTCACCCCCGCCCCGCCCCCGCATCCGTCGCCGCCTGCCGGCCGATGTTGAAAGAGTCTCGCTTTGGCCTCCATGTTTCCAGACAATGTCCTTGGGCTGTGGCCTCTTGGCATTTGGTATGGATGTCTCCCCCCGGAAGGCGGCCTCCCAAAGCGGCAGAATTAGAGTTTTAGCTGAATCGGCGCGTTCCTCATTTGCGACACTCTGGCTGTGCAGGGACATCAGCACCTCAGCCCCTCTGCTGCTTTCAGGGTGATGCCCATCCGGCGCTGTGTCTGTTTCCCACCCAGCCGCTCTCCAGCTCCTGCCTGCAAGGTCTTGGGCCTGACCCACACGCCCCGTGCCCCGGGTCCACACCTCCCGGCCTGCAGGTGGTGGTGAGGCACATTGCTGGGTGTGTCCCAAGATAAAGTCCACGGACTTTGTCTTGGGAGATGTGCACCTGCAGGGTCTGTGAGTCCAGCAGAGCCAGGACCTCTCGGCAGAGGTAACTTTCCTTAGTGCAGGCAGGCTTTGTCCCGGAGCTGCTGCTGAGACCACAGAACCCATCCCTATTCCTGCCCCTCTGACGTCAGCTGCTCGTCTGGAGGTTTGGAGGCTCTTCCATTTTTGTTAGTGTTGAGAAATTTCACAACGTGCCCCTGTGGGTGGCCACAGGGACACCCCTCTTTGGCCACTGCATGAAGCTGCTGGCGCGGCTCCCACGCCCTCGCATCTGGAACCCATCTGCGGTGAACCCCTGAGGAATGTCCCCCGTTCCCGCTCTCCCTTCTTCCCGGAACCCGTTATTTCTGTGTTGGGTCTTCTTGACAGAATCTGCCATGTTTAAACATCTTTTCTCTTTGGTTTTCCTTCTCTTTATGTATTTTGTACCACTTTTTGGAAGACAAATTCCAATTCATCTTCCATCCTCCCATTGAGCCTTCACGTCTCATCCCGTCCTTCCTCCACCAGGTTCTGTCACAGAGTCTGAAGCCCTTTCTGTAGGGCCGCCCTCCACATCACAGACAGCATCTTCCCGAGGTCCCCACGTCACAGACAGCATCTTCCCGACGTCCCCACGTCACAGACAGCATCTTCCCGGAGATCCCCACGTCACAGACAGCATCTTCCCGGAGGTCCCCGCGTCACAGACAGCATCTTCCCGAGATCCCCGCGTCACAGACAGCATCTTCCCGGAGGTCCCCACGTCACAGACAGCATCTTCCCGAGATCCCCGCGTCACAGACAGCATCTTCCCGGACGTCCCCACGTCACAGACAGCATCTTCCCGAGATCCCCGCGTCACAGACAGCATCTTCCCGAGGTCCCCGCGTCACAGACAGCGTCTTCCCGGAGGTCCCCGCGTCACAGACAGCGTCTTCCCGGAGGTCCCC